ATTCCCCCCCCCCCCCCCCCCCCCCCCAAAAAAAAAGAACAAGGTAAATCCGTTCCTCTAATTACACACACATAGCATAAGCCCGAAAGTGAGAACAATCTAATCAGCCTTGTTTTTAGGTACTTAAATCGCCACTACTCTTCTTTTTAAAAATTGTGTGCTCCTTGGTATAGATTTATCTGTTCTTGCTGATAAAATCTTGATGGAATCGTTCAGAGAATCCCCGCTACACTGAGCAAATTTTCTTCGTTTACACGATGATCATAGCCCGTCTTTTACAGCCGAAAAGCGACTTCATGTCGTTTCATAATGCATTCCAGTGAAAAATTAGAAAGCTACATCCCTTTGTGATGAAATAAAAGAGACTGGTTAATTTGAATATTCTCTTCAGTTATTGGCCTCACATATATTTCATTATAATAAAATAACAGTCAAAGATATAACGATACTCAATACACTAATGGATTAAAACTCTGTCTGTGTCTGGTCTGAGATACATGGGGTCTAGTGTAGTCCGACTTACAATCCGTCCACCAAAACTACATCGAGTTTGTCTTGCGCCACGGGTCTAACTTTAGTCCGAGATGTTAAACGGGATTGCGGGTTTGAGTGTAGTCCGAGATACAATCCGTCCAAGCCAACAGTGGATTGTAGGTTTCAGTGTAGTCCGAAATACAATAAGTCTGGTCTTGTTTGGGACCAAAGGTTACAGTGTAGTCCGAGATACAGTACGTCAAAGTCTAGTCTTATTTGGGGCCAAAGGTTACAGTGTACTCCGAGATACAATACGTCAAAGTCTGGTCTCTTATGTGGGACCAATGGTTACAGGGTAATGTTGTTGCGGGTCACGGTCCTTTCAAAACGCTTTGTTAATATTAGGACATTGCTTTCATCATAACCCGAGTAACAAACCGTATGAGCCAACGTTGGGTATTTAGAAAAACGAGAGACGAGAGTTGAATATATCTAATCGAGACACGACTGACAGACAGCTAGATTAGCTAGATAAGCTGCTACTGATTACATTCTTGCAACCAGATTTACACAACAGTTAGAGTTTCAGACTATAGCACCAAACAATAACACCCTGGAACTGTCTGGAATCTGGAGTGGAATTGTGGACAAGGTGGGAGTAAAACAGATGTTGTTTACCTGGTATTGATATTATTCCTCATATCGGACCTTGAACCTAACTCATCACTTTATTGGTTATTCTTGTAACGACTGGGGAATTCTTATTATGTAAAATAGTTAATTAGGTTTCCAGTACATACACCCGACAAATATGACTAAACAGTGACGATATCACATCCGTATATCACAAAACGATCCACCGTGAAAGCGCTCTGCAACATATCACGGTTATGAATGGTAGCCAATATTTTTCATGATCACGTGAATCCGGTAGCTTAAACTTCAGAAACTGGTCGTTCAGGACTACAAGTGTTCGTAAACATGGCCAATAAATACAAGATATGGATCCACAATGTTAATAAATAGCATCATTGGTAAACCAATAGTTACAATTAAATGCATAAGTATAAGCTAGACATTCAGTTCGTAATATTACTATATCAACCAATTGTGAAAAGTAAAGAATCTTGCCCAGGAAACACAATGAAATCATTTTCGAGGCAGATTCAGCTTTACGGAAACTGCCGAGGATTGCCGAGTGGTATATCACATCATATATAGCTGAGGGTTAGTGATGTCTAGCAACCAGCACATTTAGATTCCAGTGGTTCCTGATTTCTTGGTTCAAAACGACATTGGCAATAAATGAATTGCATAAACATGTTATTCTGTAACTATAGCCTACCCTAGACACATATGACTATGGTTTATCAATGACATTTTCACCAATTACTTTAATTGACTGGTAAGAATTTTATCATGTCAATACATTATCACGTAAGAGAAATTTTTTGTGAGATAGTGGTTTTTTTTTTTCACAAGTAAAATTAACCAGCCTTATGACTATATATGGACCTGGAAGATTGGTCGGTATGAGATAATATTTTGAAATTATAGGGCCAGTCTCACAAAATCCGAACTTAAGTATTCTTGTCATCTGATTGGTCAGTCACTAAAATTCAACCTTTTTAACCAATCTAACAGCTGAATTTCCGTATTTCATTTTTAAATTTCGTGCAACGGTCCCTCAGGGAGTAGAGGTAAATATACAAAGAGAGGGCGGTCAAAACTAGCTGTTGACAGGGCGTAGAGGTAGATCAGTAAATAAAACATTACCTGGTGCCATGATTCCGTCACCATCCTGCCATCCAATCAGATCTCTCATTCGACTTAAAATCACCTCTTCCATCAGGGTAAATACCGGCGCTACTTCATACGTAAACCTACAAGGATAACCAAATAAGGACATGATAATATCACATCTTGTATCACAAAGTTAGAGCGATAGCTTCTACCTTAATAGATTGCGCTACAATAAATGGACGGAATCGGCAATAGTGTCGGTTGTTGTTGTTGAAGAGAAGATGGTGCATACTTACATATTTGTATTAGAAACAGCGGTCAACCACTCGCCAGTTACCCCTATAATATCTAAACCGGTAGACAATTGGTTGAAAAATCTCGGGTGACCTGCAAAAATGAGAGAAAAATCATTGACAAATGTGAAAATTTGACAAAAAGTGACAAATATTACAATAGCGATATTATCTGGTTTTCTCCATGTTATCCATCCATTTGCCTTTGTCTTATACCTTGACTGCGATAGGCACCTTTCTTGCGTCACAGAAATTTGTAAATGCAGTGATGGGATTGGATTGTATGCAAATGAATACAGCCAATCAAAGTCTTCGACAGGAAGTCTGTTAGCAATAAGTTATAATGTTTACAGTCTTTCTGACGAGGACTCTGATTGGCTGTATTCACTAGCGTACCATCCAATCAAATTACATTGTGATATACAAGAAAGGTGGATATTTAAGTCAAGTTCGTATTAGCTTGACATTTTGAACATTTTCTGCGATATTACAAGTGTAATTAAAATACGACCAACCTGTCTTGACGCAGTATTTCAGAGTTTCTTTACAATCACTGAGTATCTGCTCCAAATCTCGTGGATTCTCGTCGATATCGAGACAATGGTCCATCATTTCTCTGAGCTGGTGAGGATGGTGGAAGTCTAGTACTTTGGATGCGCGATCATTTTCTTTTAGAATGTAATCTGTGAGAATGTGGGTCATTTCGATCAGAAATCCTCGAAGTTTGTCAGAATTTTTGGAATCCAGTAATTCTGTAACAAATGAAATAATTCTTGAAAAAAAA